AATTCTGGGATTCTGTGGTAGCCAAAGCTGCCAGTTCCAGGGAGCAGGAGGGCACAGGTGGCTTTAACCTCATAATGTCCCTCACTGGTGCTCTGGGAGATCTGTGTTGGGCTGTACAGAAACTGCTGATGGTTTGCAACTTCCAGCAGTTCCTCCCTCATTTTCTTACACCTTTAAAGTACAGACTTTCCACTTGAGATTTTGGACTCTGATCCTTGTGGGTCCTTTCTGTTTTGTGACTCTGCAATATAAAGTTGTGATAAAAAGGACAAGTCGTGGGTAACTTTTGCTGTCCTCAGGCCAGACAGGACCTGGCAGAAGATGAAAAGCACTGCAAGGAGAACTCTCCCTTTGCTGCCCCTGAGGGGTGAGGGAGCAGTGCCACGGCTCATCTGCTGTCCTTCCTGCCCTCGGGGGTCCTCCAGGAAACTTCCCACTGCTGCTGTCTCCTCCTTTGGGAAGCTGTGCTGACGCCAGCCCCCATTGCCATGCCTGGAAAATGAAATGCACGTTGTCTCCTTGTGCTGATCTCATTCCTCCTGCTCCAGACACAAATCCAGACTGAGGGAAGGTCCTTGGCCCCAGGCAGTAGGGGATGAAGTAGGAATGAGAACATGAAAAGGAAAACGGGGTGATGTAGCTGACATTGCAGGATCTGAGGATGTGCTGAGTGCCAGGGAGGAGCTGCTGGCTTATATTGGAATAATTACCAATATAGCAGGATGGGACGTGCCTGAGCTTATCTGGGCCTTGGTGCTGAACCAAATAGTGGCACTGTGGTGTTTCACCCCACAGACACTTTGGGCTGGCTGGGTGCTGCAGTTGGCACATGGAGACAAGTCCAGGCCTGCAGGAGCTCTGCTGGTGATGGAATAGAGCTTCCCCCATAACAGGGGCTGCTCCTCAGGTTTTACCCTGGCAGAGAAGCTTTAAGGCAATGGTGAAGGAAAGGAGTCGGTTCTGATGGAGGGTTTGGATCCAGAGCTTTATTCTGGCCCACAGGCCTCTGAATGCAGCACCAGCTCCAACAGAACTCCCTGTCCTGTGGTTGCTGCTCCACTGAGGCTAATACCCAAAAATCCCCAATTTAAACCCAAATCCCTACTTTATTCTTTAGCTCTGTTCTAGGTCAGCATACACAAAGCATCAGGACAACAATGAGTCCCTTGCTGTGTTTTCCACTCCCTCCTCCCATCCTGGACTCCACAGGCTCCCTGGAAGGCTGGGGGAGGGCTGTGCACCTGCCCTGGCTGCCTGTGATGGGTTTTCCCTCTCTTGTGTGCCCGCAGTGAATTTGCCAAGGAGCGAGAGCGGGTGGAGAACCGCCGGGCGTTCCTGAAGCTCCGCAGGCAGCAGCAGATCGAGCGCGAGCTCAACGGATACCTGGAGTGGATCTTCAAAGCAGGTAAGGCAGGCATCTCCCCGGCTTGCCTGGATGTGTTTTGGGGCAAGGGAGCTCTGGTGATGTGTGGGACTCCACAAAGTTAGAGGGTTTTGGGAAAGCTGCAAAAGGCAGGCCCCAGAGGCAATAGAACTGTGATTAGAGCTAAGCAGCAGCCCTGAGACTGGTCAGCAGAAAAATTATTTAAACTGTAGAAAAGCAAAAACAAATAGAACAATGGTCTGTGTATTAATTCCTGTCTAGAATTACTCTCTAAGCTACAGAAAAGTTTACGTAGCAAAATATTAGGAAGGTTGGAGCTTGACAATGGAGCTCTGTGCATTGTGTTTTAAGGCTCACAAGCAGGTATTGTATTTGAAATAAGCAAGCATTGTTTTAACCAAAGGTACCTGTGCTTATAGTGGTTGGATAGAACTACTGTCAGTGTGCTTTTGCTTTGTGTGATTGGTCAAAAAACTTATCAAGTGAGTTGTACCATTAAGTTCTTTGTCTGTTGCCTGGGATGTGAGCTGCTGGCATCTTCCCATTGTCATAACCATGTAATGAGACTGATGCTGGAAAATCAAACAGCCCAAGGCACGTTCCCAGCAGCCCTGTCCTGTTTGTGATTTGTACAGAGACCCTGGCTGGCGACAGTGATGGGCTCCAGAATGAGACCTTGGTGTGGCCAAGCCTGGGAGGGCCTGTCCAGCACTCGTTGGTTTTGTTGGATTTTTTTCTGAGTGTGGGAACCAAAATTATTGCAAAAAGATCTTGGTTTGGCTTAAGCAAAACTAAAGAAGCTGAGCCATCTTTATTGCTGAGATCAAAGCAATTGTCCTAATACAGGATAATATAAAAAGTGATCTGTGGATGCAACAGCCTGGTCAGAAAGAGAGAAAATGAGCTTTGCTTTCTCACTTTTTGATCAGGCTGTTGCACCCACAGTGGCGGAGTGCCCAAAGCCTGCACAGGGAGGAACTGTTCCCTTCCATGAGTAATTTCTGCTTTATTTACTCCCTGCCCCTGCTGGTTTATCAGCCTTTCTTTCTGTGCTGGTAAAACCCACCCAAGTGGCATTTTATGAGCTACAAAGATCACTTGCACGAAACTCCCCCCAGCCCATATTAACATTGATTTATAAGCACTGAAACTGAACATTGCTCTTTATTGCAAGGCGTGAACAACTTTAACCAGGACCCAGACACATTAATTTAACAGAAAATAGCATTTTTATCAGACTGCAACGATTACCAATAACTTTCCTGCTTTATGGAGGAGCTGATATTTATATATTGACATAACCACAGTCAATTCTTTCATGCAGCACCAAGAAAATGGGGGGTAATTTCCTCCTTGCTTGCTTTTCAACATCTGAGCCAAGTGAAAAGGCCTTTTAAAACAATGATGGGGAGGAAAAGAAGTGCTGATTTCTCAAATGGATTCCTGTGTGCCATTTTAGACAGATGAGTTTCATCTCTGCTCTTTACAACTGAAATGTAAAATAGAAATATCAGCAGTTTATGTGGTGCTTTAAACCCATTATTTCTTCTAGCACTGCACTGGCTGACAATTGAGGGCCACTTGTGTTGTCAGACTTTTATTCACAGTGACTGTTCAGCAGCAACTCAGGCAGCCACTCCTCATTCTGTGCTTCTGGAGGAATGAGAAAATAAAGAATTCCCTTTCCTTTCTATTGAGAATTTGTCTTCTCATTAGTTTACAGCTTCTGTGCAGCCTCTAACTCACATAAATTCCTGCCTTGCCCAGTGGCTGGAGCAGGGTTCTCTGGGCTTCTCCTTTTCTCATCCTGTCTTGCTTTTAAGGCTCTTGGTGATTTTTGGTCTCTTAATCCTGATCTCCATCACTAAAACAGAGATGAGAATTCCCCTGCAGGGTTGAGGGTGGCGTTGTGTCACTCTGGGGCCTGCTCTGCCCATCATCAGCTGAACTTGTGAGAAACTTGGGATGGAGAAATTATAAAATGTACACTCAGCCTCTGCTCCAATTCCCATCCCTGTGGGAATTCCTGACTCTTCCATTTCTATGTTGCCAGGGCTGAATAAATGCCACACCAATGTCAAGTGAAACTGCTGGAAAATGCACATTTTTCAGCCCAATAACACACGAGCCAGAAGGCTTTGTGGAACAGGGAAGTGCATGCAAAAGAGCTGAATCAGGGAATGTTAAAAATACTCTGGAAAGGCATTGTTGAGAATACAATAGGAATATAAAAGAGCTTCCTAGTACAGCTGAATAATAACAGTAATTAAAATCAGCTTAGCAGTGTTAATAAAATCTTGGAATGAAAATGCAGCGTGAAGGCAAAGCAGAGCAGAGAATCAGGACTGAGGCACTGAAAATTGGGACTGTGCCGTCCACGGGGATTTCCCAGGTCTGGCTTGGGGATTTCAGCTCTGAAATGATCTGGAATTCCTTCTCTGGGATTCTGAGCAGGGAGACCCAGCCGGGGAGGACAGGCAGAAGGGGACAGAAATCCTGCAGCAGCCCCAGGCAGGAGCTGTTTGCACAAAGGGAAGAGCGAAAGCTCCTGGGATTCTGCCCTAATGGAACTCTGGAGGATTTGGTCATTATTCCTGGGAATATCTAATTGTTTTTAAATCCTTCTGCCAGCCTTGACCTCGTTGACTCTTGGAGCAAAGAGTGCCATGTGTTAACACCCAGTTTGATTTTAAAAACCAAACAATCCCACGGAGCTGTGTCCTGCCCTCACTTTCAATCCATTGCCTTTCAGCAGCGAGAGGAAGAATTCAGGTGTTCTTTTAATTACTTTTCTTTCTCTAATCTCCTTCTACCTTGTTTCATCTTATTTTTTCCTGCTCCAAAGCACCCAGAACCAATCAGCCCAATCCTTTCTCTTCCCCTGGAAGCCTCATCAGGTTTCCAATATTTCTAATATCCTCCCTGAGCATTTGGTTTGTTCGATTTTTTTCCCCCTTGTTTATTTTTGATGCAAGGCAGGAAGAGTGGAAAGCTGCATTCTAGTGCTTCACAAAATGATGTTTTAATCTTTAGATGGCTTTTGCTCTGTAGTTTTTTACATATTTCTTTGTAGTTGCTGGAGCTGGACAGGAGGTGCCCTTGTCCTTTGTAGTGCTCAGGTTTTTTCCTCAAGTGTTGTTTTAGGACCAAGGGAAGTGTGAGTGATTAAAATCACTCCTTTCCCTGTGCCCTACCTCCCCTCAGTCAACAGTAATTTTAATTTAACACTGTGGTTATTGCTCATTGACCACTCTGAAGTGACTTTAATGTTTCTCATTAATGTCAGTAATTTGAATTATCACAGAATCCCAGACTGGTTTGGGGTGGAAGCCCCATCCAGCCTGGCCTTGGGCACTTCCAGGGATCCAGGGGCAGCCACAGCTGCTCTGGGCACCCTGTGCCAGGGAACAATTCCTAATTCCCAATATCCCACCTAAACCTCCCTTCCTTCACTTTGAAGGCAGTTGTCCTTTCCAGAGGAATTAAAAAGTGCCAAGTGATGAAATCCATGCAAATGATTTTGCTCCTGCTGTTTTCTCCACTGAACTCCTCAGAACTGCAGGAACTCCAAGGCTGGGATTTTTGAAGAACAGGGAACTACAAGTTCTCCACACAGAGTAAAGCATTTATAAGCCCACAAATATTCTTTTGAAGATGTTTCTCTTATCTTACAAGGACATGAATCATTTGGAAAACACTTTGCTCAGAGACTCTAAAATCTTCCCATTCAGGGCTAATCAAGTTTCATGTCTTTTGCATTTTAATTCTTTCCAAATCCACATTTTTCACACCAAACTGGAGTGCTTCTGTTCTCCTGGAGTGCCAGGCTTTGGGAATGGTTTCACCTCTCTGCCAGCCCTCTGGAACTTCAAGGCCATCCCTTGGCATGGCAGAGCTTTCTGAGCTTCAGGTTTCAGCTTTCTTTAGAAGAACAGAGCCCTGAGCCCCTGGGAAGACTGGAACAGACACCTCCAGCAAAGAACCCCATGTCTGTCATGGTCATATTTTCTGAAAAATCCCTTGCTCAGAATTTTCTCCTGGGAAGCTGAGAAGCCTCGGAGAAAAGGGAAAACAGTATTATCTGTTTTGCTTCTCCTGTGTTTTGCTGCTTTGGAATGTGGTTGGAGATTGTTTATCCAACATGTGAATTGTTTTAACTTAATGATCAATCCTGGTCCAGCTGTGTCAAGGTTCTGGAGAGTCATGAGTTTTCCATTATTATCTTGTTAAGCCTTCTGTCTGTATCCTTTCTCTATTCTTCAGTATAGTTTTAGTATAGCATTCTTTCATCTAATATATTATCGTAAAATAATAAATTAGCCTTCTAAGAACATGGAGTCAAATTCATCTTTCCTCCCCATGACAGGGGACCCTGAAAATACCACACCTGTGAGATGCCAAGGCAGGGTAATTCCCACAAAGACAAAGCAGGGCTCCTTGGGAGAGCATGGCAGCCACTTCTGAGGGCTGCATTTTTATCAACTTCTTCTATTTACCCAGCCAGAAATTAAATTCATTAAGTCTTTGTTATTTCCAGTCATCTGCTGCTCATTTGAGCCCCAAATATCCTCTTTCCCCACACCAAAGAGGAGGAGAAGGGGCACCATTTTCTTGCTATACCTCAGTCATTATTCATGATTAACACATTTGGGAAAAAAGGAGAGAGCAAGGATTGCATCCTGCTTTTATTTCCCTTTAAACAGCACCCTTCACACCCTTGAGCAGGTATTCCTGGTGCTCCAGACCAGGCTGCTTTGCCTTTATTTCCAGCCCAGTCACACCCAGCACTTAATGACCAAAAATTCCTTTTGCTGCCAAGACACCCCTTCCTCTGACACCCTGGCAAAGCCCCTGAGCCTTTGTTTGGAGGCTCAGAATTGCTGATCTGGTCCCATCTCTCTGCTGAACATTTCTCCTCATGCAGAGACACCATTTTTTGTTTTTTTCAGGTGCCCAATTATCTCCTTCCAGGCTCTGTTAGGGATGACTAAAGGCAGAGCAGCTCCTGAGCCTCTGTTCAGGATGCTGGCTGGTGAAAAACCCCTCTGGCAGTGCTCAGTGACCTGCTGAGATCTCTTTTTAGCCTTGAAAACCTCCTGGGGTAGCTGTGGTCCTTTGGATTCCCAGAGGACTAGAGGCAGACAGGAATAATGATCAAGGGAAAGAACCTGGGACGGCTGCAGGAGGAGAATGAGGCTTGAGGGAATTTCAGAGGTGAAAAAGGGAATTTTAAAGGAACAGCAAAACTGAGGCCAGCTGTGTTTATGGATGGAGATTTGTGTGAGAACCAATTCAGGACCTTGAATTTGGGGCAAATGTTTGCAAAATTGTCTTAAAAGAGTAATTTGTAGATGGAAATCCAGTGTAGCACAGCTTTTAGGAAGGATCTCCCATTCCTTCCTTGTGTTTCAGGGCAGTCAGACTGGGAATTGCCATTTCAATCCTCCCATATTTTCGTCCCCAAACATCAGCACAGCTTTCCCTGGGGGAGACTTCAGAAGAACCCTTTGGTCTGAGGTGCTGGCTGGTCAGAGAAGTCTCTTGAACTGCCTACAAAAGCCCATTTCACTGTTCTGACCTGTCTTAAGAAGACTTGAAAACCACCTGAATTGGAGGTGGGGATTGCAGGCACAACTTGTGGGGTTTTGGAAGGACTTTACACCTTTTAAAGTGCAGCTTTGAGCTCACCTGACATTTTTACCCCTCTCAGCTCTCCTTTCTTTCACATCTCTGGTGCATTAGTTTGCACTTCTGTATTTCCTTCCCCTCTGCTTAATTTTCCAGCTTTCCTCAGCCCTTGGAATTATTTTTCAGCCTTCTCAATTTTCTGTCTTATTAAAGTATCATTCCCTCTCTCTCCCAGATGATTAATAAAGAGATTATATAAGGCTTGTGTGGCTTATATAGGCTTATATAAGGCTGATCCCTCTGGTATCCTACTAGACAGCTCTCAGCTACACACTTTGATGTTTGGCCTCTGGTTTGTTTGTATTTGTTTTTCTGAAGTTGCTCTTCCATCTAGACTGGCTTAAACGGACTTTAAAGCAAAATTTGGTTGGAACATGGTGTCAGATGTTTTAGTAAGAGCTCACATTGATGAAATTACAGGCATGTGAATTTGCCATTTATGAGAGTAGAAGGAAGTGTGAAGTTTACCAGCTGCCAACTCAATGTTTTGTTTGCTTTGGGTTGTCCTTTAGCAGATCCCCACATCAGTTTCCAGCAGAGACTGAGTGCAGTCCCAAGTACTGGCACAGCACTGCAAACTGGCCAGAGGGTGGCAGTGCCCTGGGAAACCTCAGGAAATTGGGTTGTCTTTCACACAGATAAAAATTATTCCATTTTGGGATGTTGGTTTTTAGTGTTTCCTGTTTTTTTTTTTTTTTTTTTAATTTAGGACAGTGCAAGGTGTATTTTGGAGATGAGTTGCAGAGGAATGGAAGGGTGTTGTTGCAATCACTGTGCCAGAGCTCCCCCATGGAAAACTTGCTGTAGATTTTATTTGGACAAAGATTTGATGTGATGGCTCTGTGGTGGCAGTGACTATCCTGGCATGTGGCCCTGCTGCTCTCACCCTGTGCCACCACTCTGCTCCCCATGGCTGAATCCTGATTTTTTGGAGACAAAAGAGCAGTGATGGGTGTGGAGCATCTTCCCCAAACTGTCTCCAGTGTGGATGGGCATGAGGGACCTTCCTGGGGCTTGTGGGATTTGTGGTGCTGCCTGGTCTGGAGGAAGGTCCTTGGTCTCCAGAGGTGCCTTGGGGATGAGAGCTGGTGAAGAACCCAGTGTGGGAGGTGGTGTGGGTGGTTGTGAGGAGGGATCCCATGGAGGATGTGATTGGTTTGGAACCCTCCCTTTTTGTGAGAGGGACACGGGCAGAGAATGGCTCCTGGCCTGGCTCAGGAATGGGGTGGCCAGCAGGAGCAGGGAGGTCACAGTGCCCCTGCACTCAGCACTGCTGAGGGCAAACCTGGAGTGCTGTGTCCAGCTCTGGCCCCTCAGGCTGGGAAGGACATTGAGATGAGAGCATCCAGAGGGGACAACGAGGCTGGAGAGGGGCTGGGAACACAAACCCTGTGAGGAACCCCTGAGGGAGCTGGGGGTGCTCAGCCTGGAGAAAAGGAGACTCAGGGCTGCCCCCATCACTGCACAGCTCCTGAAAGGGGCCTGTGCTCAGCTGGGGCTGGGCTCTGTCTGCAGCAGCACTGACACAGCCAGAGCACACAGCCTCGAGCTGTGCCAAGGGAAATACAGGCTGGATATTAGGGAAAAGTTTTTTACAGAAAGAGTGATAAAGTTGTGGAATGGCTGCCCGGGGAGGTGGTGGAGTCCCCATCCCTGGGTGTGTTTAACAAAGCCTGGATGTGGCACTGGGTGCCAGGGCTGAGTTGAGGGGTTGGGGCTGGGTTGGACTCGATGATCTTGAAGGTCTCTTCCAACCCCGTGATTCTGTGAATCCTGTGAGAAACACAGCCCTGAACCATGAATTGCTCTGCAGACTCTGTCAGGGGTGGGCTGGTGGCACCGGGCTGGGATGGGTTGGGTGGCACAGGGACAGGTTCCTGCTGCCCCACCAGCCGCTGTCGGAGCAGGGCTCTGAGGAACCTGAGGCTGACCCTGGCTGATTTTCCTTTTGCAGAGGAGGTGATGCTGGCTGAGGAGGACAAGAACGCCGAAGAGAAGTCCCCTTTGGACGGTAGGTGCCTTTGCTGGGCATTTTCCTCCTGTGCCACGGGAGAGGTTCCACTGCTGTCACTGCCACGCCTTCCTCCCGAGCAGGAGGATCCTCCCGCATGCACCCGGCACAAATCCGGCCACAGAGCCCCTTCCGCAGGCTGCAGGTGGCTGAGGAGCGGTTTGGGACACCCCACACCGGCCCGGGATGGGGATGTGCCCTCGGGGTCGGTGCCCACGCCCTGCCGAGGGTGGCTGGCTGTGTGTGCAGGGGGTAGAGGCTGCCAGGAGGATGGAGAAGAGCGAATGCGCTGACCTGAGAGAAAGGCAGGGCTCCGAACGGATTTGACCAAGGGACTGAGCCCCCTGTTAGCTGTAAGCAGTAAGACATAACAGGGTGTGGTGATCCTTCCTTCCGACGTGCGAGCCCGGCGTGGCAGGACGGCCGGAGGAGCCGAGCAGCGAGGCCACGGGGATGCTCCCCCTGGGCCTCCAGCCCTGACAGCTCTTAGGATGCGCCAGCCACTCAAAGCTCAGTTAAAGACTCTTCCCTCTCCCTTTTCTGACCATCTTTCGTCCTCCCATGTCTCCTCCTTTCCCCTCCCCTCCCTCCCCCCCCTCTTTTTTTTTCTCCTCCCATTCACTGTCAGGGAGGGCCGCCTCGGAAGGGCCGATTCCTCAAGGCACGGCGCCGGCAGAGACTGGCAGCGGCAGCAGCTACAACAGTGAGTGGATTGCAAATCACCAGGGGCTTAGGTGGCACCCAGGGGCAGCTTTCCCCCCGCAGCCCCGTGCCCAGGTCACCGGTGACATGCCCAGGTGGATTTTTGGCCTGGCTCCCAGCCGTGCAGCGCTGCAGGTGCTGCTGCAGCCTCGGCCGGGCCGGTGACCTGCGCTGGGGAGGATCTGGGGCTGGAGCAGGTCAGGGCTGAGGTGTGAGTGCCAGTCCTGCGGTGTGTGCTGGGGGTGTGTGTGAGCTGGGGACGCCTGGCTGGCACCTGGGCACAGCCAGGCTTCACTGGAGTTTGTGTCTGAGGAGCAGTCTGAGTGCTGTGAGAAACTCGAGGTGGGTGCAAGGCACGGAGTAAAGACCCAGAGATACTCAGGTTCCTCTTATCCTAAAGCGAAAGGAGCCCGAGAATGTTCCCAGCCTGGAGCAGCCCACAGTCTATGGTGGTAAATTCTGAGTCCCCGAAACACAGGGATGTGCCTGGAGAGATAGCACAGCCTCACTGCCAAACACACCGAGGAGTTTTCTGGGGCAGAAGACAAAAAGCTGCTCAGTTCATGCCAGGAATGTTGGAAATATTTAATCCCAGTGCTGGTTGTGCTCCAGTGCTGAGGATGGCCCTGGACATGCTGGAGTGAACTGGGACAGACCCAGCCTGAGGGACCCCTGAGCTGGCATTGCTGGGACTGAAGATTCAGGAGAGCTGGGTGGGACAGCAAGGAGCACAAACAATGGATCCAGACCACAGGTTCAGAGCATCCTCCCCTCTGCTCTGGGTGTTCCCCTGAAGTGACTCAAGCACAGCCCTTAGGAGCAGGAAGCGCATCCACGTCTCTGTCAGGGCAGGGCAATCCGTGCAGTGTGGGAAAGGAATTTGTAGATAATTAGGGTGAGGGGATGTTGTGGAGGAGCCTCCCCGGGGCAGTCTCTGCAGCGTGAGTGGCTTTGCTGTGTGTGCCCACGGATCAGTCTGTATCACCACACCGTGGGGTGTCTTACTGCTGATAGAAAGTGCTGCTTTAGTTACTGTCTGTCTCGAAGCTGTCACCAAACTGTACCAACGTGATTTTTTTTTTCTGCCACTTCTCAAGGTTCTGCAGGTAGGTGGTCCTGGGAGCAGCGTCCTCCGTGCTCCTGCCTCACCCCCCGTGCTCTGGGTGGACAATGCAGAGCTCTCATTCCCTCTTGGAGTAAATGTAGTGGTGTTTGCCCTCCCCACTAAAAGCTGCTTTTGGAGGGGAAAAAAAAAGTGTTTTCAAAGAATTCTGACATCCCCAGAGGGCAGGGATTGCACACTGGGTGCTGCTGAGAGGCTGCTCACTGATGTGTGGCCGCTTTTTCCATGCAGCATTTCTGCTCCTTGAGGCATGGCTGGGTGGTAAACCGAGCTCTGTAAACTCTGACTCCCTCACAGTGCCTGCTGCAAACAGCACTGGTGGTTCCAGGGGTGGCAGCACTCATCTCCCGGCCCCGTGGGGCTCAGGAAGCTCCAGTGTCCCTGCCCAGCCTTTGTGCTGTGCTGAAAGTGCAGCTGCAGTGACCTCCCCACTCTCCTGCATCTGCTGCATGAAGTGGAACGTGCAGAGCTGTGCCTGGCAAACCTTCAAGAGCTGGAAGGGCAAAGGAGTGAAGCACCCTGGCACTGAGGCGTGCAGAGGCCCTGCAAGGTTGTGGGTTGTCCTGTTTGCTCCAGGGTACCCTGGTGGGAGAGCTTTGAGCTGGCATTGGGAAGGAAATGCTGGCCCTGGAGAGTGAAGGGAGGGGGAGAGAGAATCCACTCTGCATCCTCACGGGGCATTTTCTCTTTAATTTGCACGCAGTGTTGAAAAGAGCCGCAATAAAGAAGAGCAAAAATGACCTGATTCATGCAGAAGAAGGTGAGGACCATTTCACAGACATTTGCTCCGTTGGTGAGTACTGGCTTCGCATCCCCCGAGGTTTCGATCTCCACCTGAACCTGTCCATGCCATGTTTCCTCCTCTGGAGAGGCTCCTTTGCTCCAGAAGCTGCAGTTTCCTGAAGGAGAATGAATTTCCACTCGACTTCCCAAAGCAAAAAGCTCCGTGGCTTCACCCTCTCCCTGCGCTGCCTGCCTCAGCTCTTGCATGCTGCACCCTTGGGAGAGCCCTGCAAGGCCTTGGGACAGTCCCTGCTGGGCTGGCCACCCTGGGATTCTGCTTGGAACGTGCTCGTCCATGCTAATGAACCTCAAATCTGCCAAACAACACTGCTGGAGAGAGGAGAGAAGTGGCCGCAGTGCTGTGGTCCACTAATGCCCAGCTGAGGTGTCACAGCCTTTGCTGTGGGAGTGGTCACTGGGAGGTGCTGGGCAGCGGCCTCAATTTTCTGATTCTTGTCTTAGAGGAAGATCTTGAAGTGATTTTAAGGCCAGATCTGGAGATCCAGTGCAGAGCAAGGCATCCTGCACCATGGGGCAAATCTGGCATCCCCAGGCTGAGGAGGTGCTGCCCATTCTGCAGCTCCCAGAGCTGATTCCTGCTGAGAGCTGCCCAGGTGGGGAGGCAGAGGCAGCTCTGGGCACCCAGCACCACCTCAGGGAGCTGCTGGAGCCAAACCCCTGTGAGCTGTGGGACAGCCTCTCCTGCTGCTCTGCAGTCGGGCGCTCTGCTCATCCCATGCCTGTTGTTGGAGGCTGTTTTGCTGCTGAAGCAGCAGATGTTCTCATTATCTTCCAAAGAAATGTCTTGGCAGCCCAGTCCCCACAAAGCAGCAAATCCTGGATGCACAGGAGGAGCAGCACAAACAGCACATTTGAGAATCCGTGTCCGTGGCTGTTGCACAGCATGAGTGCCTCAATTGCCCTTTGGAAAGTTGGCCTTGGTGTTTCCAGGGATCACAGCTGCTGCTGGAATTTATTTTTTTCCCCTTTTAAAGGAAGAGTTGGTAGCAGAAAATGAGTGTGGCTTGGCATGTTCCTGTCACCAGCACTGAGCTGCCACAGTCCCCTGGGCTGCAGGGTTTGTGGTGAAACTGCTGCCACTTCCAGGAGAGGTTTGGTGCTGAAAAAGGGCAAAAATGCAGCAGCCTGTGTGCATTTTTGGTTTGGTTTGTTGTTGTTTTTTCTCGAATCCCTGCATGGATAACAAGGAATGGTCAATTTTGGAATATTTGCTCACAGTTACAATAATTATGAGATCTTTGCCTCCAAATCCAAGTCCCTCCAGGCTCTGGGCAGCTAGTGTCACACCAACAGATCTTGGAGTTCAGCATTTCAGGTGGCAATGGATGATGGAGCATCTGGGCTCGGGAATAATCCGAGGCAGAGCTGGGAACTGTCTCGGGAGCATATGGCAGGGAAAATAACAGCAGTGCTTTCCACCTTCTGTGAGTGCTTCACCCACTTGGGAAAAGTGGCTTTGATTTTGATTCATGGAACGAGGCAGAAAAGAAGGAATGGATTAAGCAGCTACTTCTGCAGGCTTGTGAAGAGGCTGGAATGCAGAGCATAAACAATCAGATCACGTGGGCAATTATGCATAAAGGATCTGTTTTGGAGAAAAGGGGTTTTTGGATGCTTTTCTGTAGTGTGTTCATATGGGAGCAGAAGGAGCGTGGAAAAACTAACAAATGATCCCTGAGTGCCACGTGAAGATGCAGCTCAGGGTGGGGAGACTTTGCCAGGTCTCTCTCTGGCCATTGGCTGAAAATGCTGCACTTTAATTCAAGCACCTTGATGAGCTTTATAGCTGCAGTCTAAAGCTCTGTAGTGGTAAACACTTCCCAGGCTGTTCTCTGCAGTTGTTCTTAGCTTTTATTCTTTTCTTTCTACTCCCACTGGCTTCACACCCTCTGTGCTGTACCAGGCACGGGGCTCTGCTTTGATTCCCAGACACCAAAGCCTGGAGAAGGGGATGTTTTCCATGTTGGAGCAGTTTAAATATCACTGCTTTGCATTTCTGGAAGATCAGCAGACAGGAATGAGAGGGCAGCACTGTTCCTTTGCCAGTCTGGCAGTACACAGGGGCTTGGCTATCTGAGAGCTCTGTACCTGCTAAGGAGTGCTGTGATATGAAGCAGCCTTAATCCCAAACTTTGGCTCTTCTTGTTGTCTTAAAGCAGAGCAGAGGAGGAGCACTGTGATTTCTTCTCTTCCAAACTGCCAAAGGCAGGATTTTCAAAACAACAGAAGAACACACTGATTTTTTCAGCATGGAGTTTGTTCAAAGCCTGGCCAAGGCCAGTTCTGCTTTTGGAGTGCTGGTGGATGGCCAGAAATGTGAAATGGAGCAGAGAGCTCACTTTCCACGGGGGAACATCACACTTGTGTGGGGCTGTGAGGCTTGGAGAACCTGCTGCTGTCACATCTGGATGCCTCATCCTTTCTCTGGCTGCTGTGGTTGATGTGGCAGGACGAGGCTGGGTGAGATTCCCACCCATTCCATGTGTTGACATGGAGGTGGTCACACTCCGAGATTTGGCTGCTGAAGCCAGAACTCTTTGTTGATGTCACTGAGCCCAGGAGAGCCACCTGCTCCAGGACAGGAGGAGGACATGTCCTGCTCATCCTGCTGGGATGCTCCATCCCAGGGTGGGGAAGGGCAGCAGTGATATCTTGTCCCAAACCACTGGCACAGGCAGTGGCCAGCCTGCACAATCACCACCACTTCCCCTGCTTGCAGCAGCTTCCCTGGCTGCTGCAGAGGAGCCCCAAGGGGTCCATGTGTTTCTTCCCTCATTCCTGATTTCTCCTGCCTCAGCATCAGCTTGAGATTGCCTTTTCATCTGAGCAGTGCCTCTACCCCAGGGGGAGAGCTGGCATCAGGAATCATTTCTTCCATCAGCTCCCTATTGTTGAAACTCTTGACTCTTTGCCAGGGTTTCAGCCCAGAGTGGAAATGGAGCTGATAGAGGCAGAATTGAGACAAATGAATGGCTGAGCCCAAAATCTGATATACAGAGACAGGTTAAGCCCTCTGCTAAAGAAATAGCTGAGGCTGGAGAGTAAATTAAGGAGAATTCACTCAATTCCCTGGTAACTGGTCCTTGGAACAGGAAAAACAGGGACAAAACAGTCCTTGGAGCAGGAAAAACATCTTTCCTGTTGCACCTCCCCTGCTCCATGAGGATGTGCTCCACACCATGGGCAGAAATACCCTGTGCCTGCTGCTCTGTCCCTGTCAACCAGGAAAAAGTGATGAGTTTAACTGTGACAATCAGGATTGCTACAAAGGTTTGGAAGCCCAGTTTAGATGGTGGAGCCAGGCATTGAGCCATGAAGTTTTACAAGCCCAGCCTTCATCCCTCATTACAAGCAAGACGCCCTTGCTCAGCCCATTCTCAACATCCCCAGCTTCCTGCTGAGCTGTTCTGGTGGTGCTTGGAGAGGCTCTGTGTGCCCAGGACCTCCCTGCAGCCTTTTTCCTGCTGGGATGGGCTGTGGTGACTCTTTTCTCTGTCCCAGGGTCTCCCTTTGCCCGTGCCAGTTTGAAGAGTGGGAAGAACGAGAGCTCATCCTACTTCAGGAGGAAGGAGAAGATGTTCCGCTTCTTCATCCGCCGCATGGTGAAGGCTCAGAGCTTCTACTGGGTGGTGCTCTGCGTGGTGGCCCTCAACACCCTCTGTGTGGCCATGGTGCACTATGACCAGCCCGAGAAGCTGACCACTGCTCTCTGTGAGTACTGCAGGGACCTGGGGGTGCTCAGCCTGGAGAAAAGGAGACTCAGGGGTGACCTTATCAGTCTCTACAGCTCCCCTCACTGCTGGTTTTTGGCTCCGTTTTCTATCTCTGTCAAGAGGGATTGAAGCTCTCAAAACAATATTTCCTGTTCATGCTTAAGTGTTTATTATTTCTTATCTATGTTACAAGTGGGGAGTGTTACTATAGGACATGAAAAAACACAAGCTCACACTGCTGTTCTCAAGGTGGAGAAAAAGGGAAGTTTATTTTCTGACTCCTACATCTATAGTTTTCCAAGAGTGACAGTGGATTGGAGGGTGACAGTGCCACCTCTCCAATGACACTGGACAAACCAACAGTCCATCAAATCTCTCTTCTTCCATATAGGAATGCAAAACAATGAGTTATTTACAGAAAGTGTGTGAGAAAGTTCACTACACGAATGTCAGCATCAGAAGGCTCAGAAAGTCTTAAAAAGCCAGGGTGACAGTGAGCTCTACAGCATTCTACAAACAAGGAAGGGCTTTGGGACACTGCAACGTGTCCAGAGGGGGCAACGAGGCTGAAGAAGGGCTGGGAACACAAACCCTGTGAGGAACCACTGAGGGAGCTGGGGCTGTTTATCCTGGAGAAAAGGAGACTCAAGGGTGACCTTACCAATCTCTACAGCTCCCCTTACTGCTGGTTTTTGGCTCCTTTGTTCTAGCTCTGTCAAGAGGGATTGAAGCTCTCAAGACAATATTTCCTGTTCAGGCTTAGGTGTGCTGGTGTTCACAGCGGTCCCAGGATGAGGGAAGAGATGAAAACCTTGACTCCATGTTTCAGAAGGCTGATTTATTATTTTATGATATATATTATATTAAAAGAAAATTATAAACTATACTAAAAGAATAGAAGAAAGGATTTCATCAGAAGGCTTGAAAGGAAGGGAATGGAATTATAATAAAATCTTGTGACTGACTAAATAGTCCAAGACAGCGGATTGTGATTGGCCATTAATTACAAAAAAACACATGAGACCAATCACAGATGCGCCTGTTGCATTCCACAGCAGGAGATAATTATTGTTTACATTTCGTTTCTGAGGCCTCTCAGCTTCTTAGCAGGAAAGATCCTAAGGAAAGGATTTTTCATCAAATATGTGTGTGACACTTAGGTGTTTATTATTTCTTATCTATATTACAAGTGGTGAGCTCTACAACATTCGACCAACAATAAAGGACTTTGGGACACTGCAGTGTGTCCAGAGGGGGCAGCGAGGCTGGAGAGGGGCTGGGAGCACAAACCCTGTGAGGAACCCCTGAGGGAGCTGGGGGTGCTGAGCCTGGAGAAAAGGAGACTCAGGGCTGCCCCCATCACTGCACAGCTCCTGAAAGGGGCCTGTGCTCAGCTGGGGCTGGGCTCTGTCTGCAGCAGCACTGACACAGCCAGAGCACACAGCCTCGAGCTGTGCCAAGGGAAATTCAGGCTGGGTATTACAGAATCACAGAATAATGAGATTGGAAGAGACCTCTAGGATCATCAACCTATGCCCTAACACCTCAACTAGACCATAGCACCAAGGGCCATGTCCAGTGGTTTTTTTAAACACATCCTGAAATGGGGCAGGAGAAATTGTCCTGGAGCAGGATGCACAAAAGGAAGGGGAATGATGCCTGGGAAAAGCAGGATTCTCTGGCTAACTTGTGTCCAGAGAATGTGAATTTGTGTCGCTTTGCAGCTGATCTGCACCCATGGGTGATTCCTGTTGGGGACACACTCAGAGCTCTGCCAGCTCTGACATTCCTGGGATAGCAGCAGCTGGAATGGCCTGGGAGATAAAAATCCTGCCAGTGCTTATGGAATCAGGCACTAAGCCCCCATTGTGGTGTGATTCCTGGCAGAGCCTTTAAAAGGTTTCAACTTTACAGCTCTTTTTGGGTTCCATGCCCTCCCTGATGGGGTGTGATGACAGGGGATGGGTGTCACCATGCCCTCCTGTGACATTAAGTGACAGAAATACTCCCAGAGGGAAGATTATCCTGTATTTGTGAAAAGATTTTATTTTAGCTGGTTCCTGTCGTCACCTGGTTTAGCTCAGAGAGTCTAGAAGTGCTTTTGAAATATGAGTTTTGGGTTTTTTAAATTGCTCTGATGAATGAGAAATGGTGTCTCCCTGAGGTCACAGACTTGCTGACAAAGCTTTGTTAAAAAAATATGGAAGGTGAGGGATGGAGCTTTTTTTTGTTGATTTTAATGAAGTTTGGAGGCTGGGACTCCTAGAGCTGGAAAACTCCTAGAAATTCCTCATACTGATAATGCAAATTTTTCCCTTTCAAGGGATGGGATGAGGTTTGTTTCTGGAAGACAAAGCCATTCATGACCCTATAAAATGGCCAGGAGCAAATCTGTTATTCAGCACTTGACCAGATGAAAATTTAAATAAAACTTCTAAAAAAAAGCAAACAGAAGACTGGAAAAAAAAATCCTCAGATATTTCCAACAGTCTAACAATGTTGGCTTAGATCTTTAAAGATCCTTATCTACCTAATTTGCCTTGATTTCTCTCTAAATTAGATACTTAAATATTTCTTGCCTCAGATCCTCAGGTCTTACCTTATTACAAGGAAGGCAAACTTTTGAAGTTTTTTTTTAATAGACCTAAGAGGTCAGGAATACTGACTGCTCTGACATCAAAAGCTCCTTATTAATATTTGTTGAAATATTTAATGCCACCTGGTAATGGAGCTCTAATGAGAGATGTATAATAAGGACAGAAATTTCTTTCAAGTCTTTTTTTTTTTTTGGCAAGATTTCAACTGAAAAGAGAGACAGACCATACAGAGAAGTCACTCTTGCTTATTCATTCCCTCAATTTACCAGAGGAAATAATAAGCTAGATTGGCAGAGTAATTAAAAGTTTGAGGATTAGGATTTCCTCTGGAATTAGGACTAAATGTTTAGGAAACAAACCACACACTTGAAGTCTTTAAACTCAAAAAAAGGTCACAGATTTACAAAACTCAGTTTTGGGAGCACCTTTTACAGTGACTTTTCCAAGGGAATATGGAGAAATCCACTAGCCAGAAACTCCTCAATGTTGCAGTGAGGGCTGGAAGGGCTGGTTCTGCCTCTGGGAATTATTCACCTCTAGCTGGGATATTTACCTGAGACAGAGGCCACAAATTAGGCTTCCAATCTATGCCAGCTGAAGACAAAAAATAGGGAATAGGTTGGAATTAGGGATGGATCCATGTTTCAGGAACTCTGCATTTGTCCAGAACACCCAGTAATGTCAGTCAGTGTCAGGAGCACTTGGGCAGCAAGTTTGGATTTCTTGGTGTAGAATCCCACTGAGCTGGGAGTGGGGATCCCGCTGCCTGACATTTAATGGAAGAGGCAGAAAACCACAAAAATTGAGGATTAAGTTCTCAGCATCCTCCCAGCCTTTGCACATCCCACTGTTCTTTGCGGGGAGCCCTGAGGGTTCTTTGTCACTGGGGGAACACCTGGGCAGGGGCTCCACAAACCATCCCTGAAATGGGGCAGAAAAGGGACCTGAGAGGGTCACCTGGAGCCACCTCCCTGCTCCAGCAGGGCCATCCCAGGGCACAGGGCACAGCATTGTCCCTGGAATATCCCAGGGAGGAGACTCCACACCTCCTGAGCTGCTTGTTCACCTCACAGGGAAGAAGTTTTTCCTGATGTTCAGGTGGAACTTCCTGGGATCAGTTCCTGCTTGTCCTGCTGTCCCATTGCTGGAGCAGAACCTGGAGAGCTCTGAGCCCTCCCTGCAGATATTTTGATGAGATTCCTCTCAATCATCTCCTTTGGAGGCTGAGCAGCCCCAACTCTCTCAGCAGAGGTTCTCCAGTCCCTTCAGCATCTCTGCCACCCTTCATCCAGGAGCTCTGAGTATTTCTGGGATGTTAAACCCTGCTGGAAACCCCCCTGGCATTGGGGAGGGGCAGCCCAGTGTGGGTCACAGAAAAAAACCAGATTATTCAGAAGTAGGGAAAGGTTTTGTGAATGCTCACATTGGGTTTTTAGACAGGGTGGTACAAGATTGATCACTGTGACAATGAGAATAAAAACCAGAGATCCCAGACTGTTTTGGTTGAAGAGACCTTAAAGCCCATCCAGTGCCACCCCTGCCATGGCAGGGACACCTCCCACTGTCCCAGGCTGCTCCAGCCCTGTCCAGCCTGGCCCTGGGCACTGCCAGGGATCCAGGGGCAGCCACAGCTGCTCTGGGCACCCTGTGCCAGGGCCTGCCCACCCTCACAGGGAACAATTCCTAATTCCCAATACCCCAACTAAATCTCTCCATGAATGGTCATAATGGAAATTCTGAAGTACACCAGCCAGTTTTGGGGGTTTTTATTTGTTTGTTTTGGGGTTTGTTTTATTTTTTAAGATGGTTTTTGCTACAAGAAGAAGCAGAGGCTCTGTGGGCTCATTTTAGGGATGATTATCTCTGCTCCAGGCAGAAACCTGTTTTAGTGTGATTTTTGAGCAAAGAACTTTGGAGAAATGTCCTGAAAATCCCTGAAAAGTTCAACCTCTTAAATTCCTAGTATCCCATACCTCCAAACCCTCCTGAATTCCAGGCTGAGGAGCTGTGGGGCTGCATTCAC